GTGGAACATGTGAACGTATTGGAGTTCAACAGTTTACATCGTTACGCTCAACCATAGGAGGAGGACCCATAGAAGGTCCCATAGAAGGAGGACCCATAGAAGGTCCAATAGAAGGAGGACCCATAGAAGGTCCTATAGAAGGAGGACCCATAGAAGGTCCAATAGAAGGAGGACCCATAGAAGGTCCAATAGAAGGAGGACCCATAGAAGGTCCAATAGAAGGAGGACCCATAGAAGGTCCTATAGAAGGAGGACCCATAGAAGGAGGACCTATAGAAGGGCGACCCATAGAAATAGGACCCATAGAAGAAGGATCTATGGAAGGAGGGCCCCATAGAAGGACGACCCATAGAGGGAGGTCCCATAGAAGAAGGACCCAAAGAAGGGGGACCCATAGATGGAGGACCCATAGAAGGGGGACCCATAGATGGAGGACCCATAGAAGGAGGACCCATAGAAGGAGGACCCATAGAAGGAGGACCCATAGAAGGAGGACCCATAGAAGAAGGACCCAAAGAAGGAGGACCCATAGAAGGAGGACCCATAGAAGGAGGACCCATAGAAGAAGGACCCAATGAAGGAGGACCCATAGAAGAAGGACCCAAAGAAGGAAGACCCATAGAAGGAGGACCCATAGAAGGAGGACCCAAAGCAGAACCCATAGAAGGAGGACCCATAGAAGGAGGACCCATAGAAGGAGGACCCATAGAAGGAGGACCCAAAGAAGGAGGACCCAAAGAAGGTGGACCCATAGAAGGAGGACCCAAAGCAGAACCCATAGAAGGAGGACCCAAAGAAGGAGGACCCAAAGAAGGTGGACCCATAGAAGGAGGACCCATAGAAGGAGGACCCATAGAAGGAGGACCCATAGAAGGAGGTCCCATACACACATCATCTATATAATCACACATCAACATCATCAGCATCAAAGCCAAACTAGGGGTTCAGTTTGGATAATTGGCGACTGTATAAATACAATGTATATTTCTTAATAATACCGAATTATCTACTTGCTGAGGCTTATCTGAAGCTAATGAGGGGGAGGGGGGGGGGGGTTGTAGCCCAAGTTTATGAGGAAAGTCAGACAAAAAGGTTATTAGCCAAGTTAATGAGGAAGACCAACTATAAAGAAGGAAGGGGGTATTAGGCAAGTTAATGAGGTGGAACAAGTGTGAGGTTGTTTGCCAAAGTAATGAGGCAGGAAACCTCCTGAGGAAAGAATGAAATCCCAAACCAGTTTCTTGATCAGGTCAGTTCTGGCCAGAAACACTCTGCAGCATCCTCCCCCCCCAATCTCTGTCTGTCTGTCTGTCTGTCTGTCTGTCTGTCTGTCTGTCTGTCTGTCTGTCTGTCTGTCTGTCTGTCTGTCTGTCTGTCTGTCTGTCTGTCTGTCTCTGTCTCTCTCTCTCTCTCTCTGTCTCTCTGTCTGTCTCTCTCTCTCTCTCTCTCTCTCTCTCTCTCTCTCTCTCTCTCTCTCTCTCTCTCTCTCTCTCTCTCTCTCTCTCTCTCTCTGTACCAGTTTATCCACAGGAGCGTTAATACCGCCCTCTTCACCCTCGGATATTCACGAATGACATATAGCAATTACAGTTCAATTTTCTCTCTCGCTTCTTCATTAGGAGTAACGTTTGATATTTTAATGGTAATATCTGAACTTGAGCTTTTGCGCCCATTTCTTCAGAATTAGTATACGAATCTACCTCTCCGCTTTCAACATCACATGCATTTGATCTTCCGGCATGGGAGGCTGAAGTATTGATCCATATAAAGAGCACATCAGAAGCTTTTATTAAATGAAATGCAAATATAATTTTTATGTCCAAAGGATATATATATTTATAACTATTTTCAACATGTGTTGGAGTTGGGGTCTCTCACTCTAGGAAGGTGGGTGTTGGTGGTCTCACACTCTAGGAAGGTGGGTGTTGGTGGTCTCACACTCTAGGAAGGTGGGTGTTGGTGGTCTCACACTCTAGGAAGGTGGGTGTTGGTGGTCTCACACTCAAGGAAGGTGGGTGTTGGTGGTCTCACACTCAAGGAAGGTGGGTGTTGGGGGTCTCACACTCTAGGAAGGTGGGTGTTGGGGGTCTCACACTCTAGGAAGGTGGGTGTTGGTGGTCTCACACTCTAGGGGTGGGTTGGGGGTCTCACTCTAGGAAGGTGGGTGTTGGTGGTCAGTCACCCTAGGAAGGTGGGTGTTGGTGGTCTCACACTCTAGGAAGGTGGGTGTTGGTGGTCTCACACTCAAGGAAGGTGGGTGTTGGTGGTCTCTCACTCTAGGAAGGTGGGTGTTGGTGGTCTGTCACCCTAGGAAGGTGGGTGTTGGTGGTCTCACACTCAAGGAAGGTGGGTGTTGGTGGTCTCACACTCAAGGAAGGTGGGTGTTGGTGGTCTCTCACTCTAGGAAGGTGGGTGTTGGTGGTCTCTCACTCTAGGAAGGTGGGTGTTGGTGGTCTCACACTCAAGGAAGGAGGGTGTTGTGGTCTCACACACTAGGAAGGTGGGTGTTGGTGGTCTCACACACTAGGAAGGTGGGTGTTGGTGGTCTCTCACTCTAGGAAGGTGGGTGTTGGTGGTCTCACACTCTAGGAAGGTGGGTGTTGGTGGTCTCTCACTCTAGGAAGGTGGGTGTTGGTGGTCTCACACTCTAGGAAGGTGGGTGTTGGTGGTCTCACACTCTAGGAAGGTGGGTGTTGGTGGTCTCACACACTAGGAAGGTGGGTGTTGGTGGTCTCACACTCTAGGAAGGTGGGTGTTGGTGGTCTCACACTCTAGGAAGGTGGGTGTTGGTGGTCTCACACACTAGGAAGGTGGGTGTTGGTGGTCTCACACTCTAGGAAGGTGGGTGTTGGTGGTCTCTCACACTAGGAAGGTGGGTGTTGGTGGTCTCACACACTAGGATGGTGGGTGTTGGTGTTCTCTCACACTAGGAAGGTGGGTGTTGGGGTCTCACACTAGGAAGGTGGGTGTTGGGGTCTCACACTAGGAAGGTGGGTGTTGGTGTTCTCTCACACTAGGAAGGTGGGTGTTGGTGGTCTCACACACTAGGAAGGTGGGTGTTGGTGTTCTCTCACACTAGGAAGGTGGGTGTTGGGGTCTCACACTAGGAAGGTGGGTGTTGGGGTCTCACACTAGGAAGGTGGGTGTTGGTGGTCTCACACACTAGGAAGGTGGGTGTTGGTGTTCTCTCACACTAGGAAGGTGGGTGTTGGGGTCTCACACTAGGAAGGTGGGTGTTGGGGTCTCACACTAGGAAGGTGGGTGTTGGTGGTCTCTCACACTCAAGGAAGGTGGGTGTTGGTGGTCTCACACTCAAGGAAGGTGGGTGTTGGTGGTCTCACACTCAAGGAAGGTGGGTGTTGGTGGTCTGTCACCCTAGGAAGGTGGGTGTTGGGGTCTCACACTCTAGGAAGGTGGGTGTTGGTGGTCTCACACTCTAGGAAGGTGGGTGTTGGTGGTCACACACTAGGAAGGTTGGTGTTTGCAAAGCTGTAAATATGTAGGTGAGGTATCTCTCACTTTAGAAAATTGAAAGGCTCCTTATATCATACATACACATTAAACTTATATATATACACGTCATACGATTCATTATACACGTGGTGATCTTTTGAACATCATATGAACATAAGAATAATGTAGACGGCCCATTGTCTCATGCAATGCAGCTCCACCCAAACTCATTCATATATATGTGTGTAACCTTCGCTTGAAACACTCTAGGGATATATTATTATGTAATTCGTTCCATTAATCATCAACCCTGTTTATCAGGCAAAAAGAAAACAATGGTTTTATCCAATGCAAAACAACAGTTTTGTCCGACAAAACAACAGTTTTGTCCGACAAAACAACAGTTTTGTCCGACAAAACAACAGTTTTGTCCGACAAAACAACAGTTTTGTCCGACAAAACAACAGTTTTGTCCGACAAAACAACAGTTTTGTCCGACAAAACAACAGTTTTGTCCGACAAACACAAAGCAATTGCTAGCACTTTACTCACCTAGTTGTACTCATGTACTTGTTTTGTGCGGAAGGTGAATCTCGACTCTTGGGTCCCGTCTCTTGTACATGGGTTTCAGAGCCTATCTGGCTTATATCTTGAGGCTATCTTGAGGTTATCTAGAGATGATTTCGGGGCTTTTTTTTTTTTAGTGTCCCCGCGGCCCTGTCCTCGACCAGGCCTCCACCCCCCAGGAAGCAGCCCGTGACAGCTGAGTAACTCCCAGGTACCTATTTTACTGCTAGGTAACAGGGGCATTCAGGGTGAAAGAAACTTTGCCCATTTGTTTCTGCCTCGTGCGGGAATCGAACCCGCGCCACAGAATTACGAGCCCTGCGCGCTATCCACCAGGCTACCAGGCCCCTTATCACTTCAACTAAAAGCACATTCCACCAGCTCACTACCTCAAACCAAAAAATTTTCTTTCCTAATGTTTCTGTGACTTATTTAGATATAAAGAGTCCAACTATACTTTCCTGTTCGTGAAGAACCTATGGTAAACTGGCTGTCTTTGTAGGCCTTGTCTATTCCCCTGAGAAAGTTATATGTGGTAATCATGTGTCCCTTGATTTTAGTTTCTGTCTTTCAGTGACGTGGTGCGGTCTGGATGCCGGGTAAGCTTATCCATGCATGGACACCGGACTCAAATCCACAGCATATAAGCATTTTTTGGGGAGGGGGGAGACCCGATATTCCTCGCAGAGTAAAAAAGATCTTCTGAAGATGAAGAAACTTGAGTCACAAATCTGTGAAAGAACTCTCAACAAGTTGGCCAAAGTTATGTTTATGGTATCGTCTCTAATAGTTAAGTTGATCTAGGTGACATAAGCTGCTTCGTTTTCTGTGCCCGCCGGATCAAGGTCGTATATTTTAATGGAATAAGTTCAGGGGTCGTTATTTTTCAGTCGTTGTTATTGGATTCATCGCCGGGCCTCGGGTTCAACAGTTTAATTATCTGAAAATGAGCTTAATGTTTGGTCGGCGTTCGCTAGGTAGTGCAGGTCTAGTCAAACTCACTCGCATGATTCACTAATTACAACTGCCTTTTCGCAAAAGCATATTGGATATAAGTTTACATACAGAAAAGACCCGAGTAAATTTTTTGGTTCTAAAAATGAAGTCGCTGATATATGGAAACAATTACCGGGAAACTATAGACATAGGATCGTTGGGTTGTTTCATGCGTAGGTAAGACGTATATATATGTCTTCTCCCCTGAAGGATTCGAACCCATACAGCCAGGGCTTCATGCACCTTAGCGTATCTAGTTCTATGCCTCTAGACCACACTGACTTTACAAAAAAAGATGGAAGTCGTGATACACCTCCGAGTGCTGTCAGGTGTTGGGTTAAGGGTCTCACGACTTGGAACCTTTTGTACAGTCAATATGGTCTAGCAGTATAGTACTGGATACGCAAGGTGCGTGCAGCTCTGGCGGTCTGGGTCCGAATCCTTCAGGGGTAATGAGTTATATATATAACTCATATATAGATATATAGTTATATATATCAGGGGTAATGAGTTATATATATATATATATATATGTCGTACCTAGTAGCCAGAACTCACTTCTCAGCCTACTATTCAAGGCCCGATTTGCCTAATAAGCCAAGTTTTCCTGAATTAATATATTTACTATAATTTTTTTCTTATGAAATGATAAAGCAACCCTTTTCTCTATGTATGAGGTCAATTTTTTTTTATTGGAGTTAAAATTAACGTAGATATATGACCGAACCTAACCAACCCTACCTAACCTAACCTAACCTATATTTATAGGTAAGGTTAGGTTAGGTAGCCAAAAAAGCTAGGTTAGGTTAGGTTAGGTAGGTTAGGTAGACGAAAAAACATTAATTCATGAAAACTTGGCTTATTAGGCAAATCGGGCCTTGAATAGT